GGCCGACCGCGGATGCGCTTGCCGGCGTTGCCAAGCGAATCATCGCCATCGCCAGCCGCACCGCCCTGCTGCGAGGTCGTCGACGCCTTGGACGTCGAGTTGTTGCGCGGGCGCTTCTTAAAGCCCGTGTTCGGCCCAGTCATGATCTCGCCCGCCTTGGCCGGCCGCATCCGCCCCTTGGCCGACGCTCCGCCGCTCGATCCGGGCCGCGAGTGGTCGTCCTGGCTGCCGCCATTGCCATCCTCGCCCCCCTCGTCGCCGGGAGACCTGCCACCGTCACTGCCGTCGCCCGAGCCGCCCACGGGGTCGGGAGCGTTGAGGCAGGCCTGGATCAGGTTGCGACCCTCGGCCTGCGTGACGAGCGCCTGCAGCTTGGGCGTGGTGAAGGTGTAGACGAGGCCCGTCTGCGAGACGACGAGCAGCAGCACCTGCGTCCCCGTCAGCGTCGCCAGCTCGTATGCCTGGTCGATGCGGATGTGGTGTGAGGACACACGAGGCGGTTAGCTTTGGAAGTCGTAAGGTTGAGCCCGCAGTGGGACGAGGCTGGCAGGCCGCGACTCACCTTCTTCATGATGCCGGCCTTGCGCTTGCTAAAGGTGATGTGGCGCCTCGCATCGTCCTCGATGAACTCGATCTTGATCTTCCTGCGCCCCGTCTTTGCGTCCTTTTCGCCTTTGGCCTCGGTCTTTCCCTTCTTTCCCTTGCCCCCGCCCTTGCTGCTGCTGCTGTCGCCGCTGCCTCCAGCCTTTCCCTTGGCGCCCTTGAGCTTCGACGAGCCGTCGTCCGACGAGCCCTCGTCGTCGTCGTCTGGCCCCGCGGCGTCGTTGTCGCCCTCCTCGTCATCGTCGTAGTCGGCGCCAGCGTAGCCTGCGGCCGCCGTGGCGCCGAAGCCGGCTGCAAGGTCGAAGCCGGCGAGGCCGCTCGACGCCGGCGTGCTGGCCAGCTGGACGGATCCGTAGGGGACGTCGTAGATGGGTGCGTTGCGGGGCGAGTCGCTTCGGACCACGCCCATGACCCCCATGGTGGGGTTGTGAAGCGTCGATGGCGAGGCCGAGACCGTTGCCATGTCCGCCTTTGGTGAAAGGTGCCAGGCTCACCTACGAGACAGGCTGAGGGGAGAGGATGGTCTGCGCGGGCGGGCCGGCTGCAGAGACATTTGAATGTGCGAAAGAAGGCGGCTCGCAATGGTCAGCGACAGAGGTCAAGGGGAAACAGCCGCTCGGACAGCAGTGGCGACCGCTCAATCGACTGCTAGTGCGCGGGTGAGCCGACTCACCTCGTGGGAAGGTGTGTACGTGGTGACGCCGGTGTCGTCGAGCGCCTTGCCGCCGCGGCCGTGCTAGTCGAACAGTGAAGGCGGGTCGCGAATCGACGGTAGGGTGGAAGCGGCGACGAAGGACGTGCGCAGCCGGCGTCGAGAGTCAAGTGCGACGAGACGCGATGCGTAAGAGCAGGAACCAGGAGGCCTACGGTCTCGATTGACCCTGAAGATCGGACCTCAGGGAGGGCGCAGGAACAGGATGAGGTGGTGGTCTCGGACCAAGGCGCGGGTTCTATGTGCTCGTCGGGCCGAGGCAGTCGGCAGTATGGTGCAAATCTATGTCGATGCTGATCGTCCAAGATCAGGTGAGATAAGATGAGAACAGCTGAGGATGCAGCCTCGGGAAAAGGGCAACCGCAGACGAAGGGATCGCGACGGCCGGCAGAGGCTCCTGGGCGGCAGCGGCGGGTCGCAAGGTTCAAGCCAGGTCGGTCGTCGTGGTGCGATGGAGGCGGTATGACCGGTGGTCTGGTGGTCTGCAGATGATTTCGAGAGTCGAGGAAAGAACAAGCGACCAAGACGGAAGAGGAAAGGGCGTCGGCAGATCCGAAAGACGAGGCGACCGAGAGAATGGAGCGGGTATCGATGGACGCAGGAGGTGGAGGACCGACTGATTCGAGCAGGTGGACGGCGAACGGAGGGTTGGAGGCAGATGGGTGATGGTGTTGCAGAAGAGAGTACAGAAAGGTCCAGCGAGGCGGAGCGAGGCAGAGAGGGGGGGCAACAGAGAGAGGAGCCAGAGGGTAGAGAGAGACAGGCAGGACCAAGGTGCGAGGCAGGCAGGCAGAGCAGGCCCTCAGGGTCGGATGTTGCCGCCAGCCTGCTGCTGCTGCTGCTGCTGCTGCTGCTGCTGCTGCTGCTGCTGCTGTCCGGCCAGCTCGCCTGCCAACGATACCCCACCTCAACCACCACCGCCGCCGCTGCTGGACCGGTCACCCGGTTGCCTTGCCACAGCAAGGCGTGTGCGACCGCCGGCTTTGCATCTGTTGGAGCTTGTTCACACATACGTCCATCTGGACCTTGGACAGCTCAGCTCGATGGACGGTACGGGCCGGCAGGTTGGAAAACAGCAGCGAGCAGGGCTGGCCGAGGGGCAAGACCCGGCCCACGAGCCTGCTGCTGCCCGGCCTGCTGGCCTGGCCTGGCCTGGCCTGGCCTGCCACCCTGCGGGTCGCTCCTCTGGCATAACCGAGCTTGGCAGCCAGGCCGGGCGGGTCCTGTCAGTCGGCCAGCAGGCAGGCGCTCCCCACCGCCGACCAGCGAGCAGGGAGCAGCAGCACCACGGCAAGCACTACCGCCACCACCAAACACCACCCACCACCAACGTCAGCATCAGCCGAGGTAGCCGCCGGACGAATGGGCGGAGCTGGTCACCGCTCGTCCTTGCTTTGACGCTGTCCGACCGGCCAGCCGGCCTTTGTCTCTGGCACCGGAGCAGACGCAGCCAGGCCAGACGCTCGTCGCCTCTCGAGAAAAAGAGACGCACGCACGCCTCATCCCGAATGCCCCTACCTCGGCCCTCGGACCTCGATCCCGAGGCCCTGCGCCTGCCCTGCGCCTGCCCTTCCGTGGCCAGCGCCCCTCGGAGGCATGTCGGCCTTCCATAACTTGCCTGCCCGCTCCTTTGTCCTGCCTGCCTGTGCGCCTGATCGTCGATGCGGTTGCAGAGGGATGCACGCAGCATGCGCCCTCGCCGCCGAGCACGTCCTTGCCAGCATCTTTGGCCCGCCGGGGGGACCTTGCTTGCTGCGCAGCGGCGGGCGAAGAGGGGTTGGACGTGGCCTGCGCAGGCCTCTGCTGGCTGCGTGTTGGATGTGCGTCGCCGAGCCTGGCAGGAGGCAGGTCGGGGCCAGGCCAGGCCAGGCCAAGCCACCGTACCTCTCTGCCTAGCCTGCGGGGTCGGTCGCGCGCGTGCGGAGAACCCGAAAAACACAACAGACATGCGGGCGAGCAACCTGGGCCCGCGCGCAGGCGAGAGGCGCCAGGGGCGACACTACTCACGCGCAGCGGCAAGCCCCGCCTGCCTGCCCAAAGGCCGCTTCAGACGACCCGTCCGAGAGCCAGCCTCGTCCCGCTGCTTGAACTCGAGGCCCTTCTGCAAAGGCCCGGCCGCTGGCAGCAGCGGCGAGGTGAGGATGCATGCTCAGAGCAGGCGGTCGCCACCGCGGGGTGGTGGAAAGCAGCCGCCGCTGGTGCGCAGCTCGAGGAAAGCTGGCGGGCGAGCTGCTCGGATGGCACGCCAACAGGCTGAAAAGAGTTGCCTCATCGGACGGGCCAGAACCGGCATGACGACGAGGAGCGATCGTAGGAGACGGTCGGCTCTTGTCCCATCGCGGCGGCAGCGACGGCAGTGACAGGACGCGATACGTAGCGTCCATGAAGGTACAATAGGGCTGATCGATTGAGCTTCTCTGTCGAGCGAGCAGCTGCTTTGTCGATACGAAGGCCAGCAACGGGCTCGGCCCGGCTGGCGGTTTCGACAATGAGCAGCAGGATCAGGCCTGGATCGGGGTCGAGGTCCGAGCCGTTGCGTTCATGCCAGACCAGGCCATCGCACGGCCCACGCCACGCCACTGTACGCGAATCGCTCGCATCGCGTCGACGTCCGCACCGGTCCGATCCGATCTGATCCGTCGCCCTCGATCCCGGTCGCCGACTGGATGGGGAAGGCGCCCCTCACCGTCGTCGCCGACATAGGGGCGAGCTAGCAGCGCGGATAGGGGTCGAGGAAGGCCTTGGGTCTGTCGCAGCCAGGCTAGGCCGGGACGGGATGGGTGCTGGGTGGTTGTGGTCGCGTACATCATCGGCTGGTGGTGGAGCAGAGGCAGGAGAGGGGGGAAGGGTCCAGGCCAGCCTGCGAAGCGAATTGGCGCGTGCAGCGCGTCGCCCCAGCAGGCAGGGCCAGGCGGGCAGGCGGGCAGGCGGGCAGGCTCGGCGGGCCAGACGGGCTCGAGGAAAAAGAGAGGAAAAATCGAAGCGAAAATCCATCGGGGAGCCTCCAACACGTGCCCTCGCCATCCCCCAACCCGGACTGCCTTGCCTTGCCCTCTGGCCTGCAGCTCTATGCTGGCCTGGGTTTGAAATTTGTGGTCCGCCGTCGAAGGGGCAGCTCGGGTGGGCAGCAGCTGGGCTACAACCCGATCTAAGCAGTCGGGAAGGTTGCTCCTCTAGCCTCCGTTGCGGCCCTCCGACCCGCTCCTGCCTCTCTGGCAGCCCGGAATCTCGACGGCCGTCCTCCCGAGACAAAGCTTCGGACAGGACGCGAGGCGACGTGCGAAGTGCAACGTGCGACGAACGTGTCGCTCTGCCTCAAGGACTCCTCCCTTCTGTGCCTCGGCGCGCACAAGCCATCGAAGCTGAGCATAGCGACCGTCGCCATCGACGACGAGCACCCGGAGCCCGGCCGCGCCGCCCAGCCAGCGCCCGTCGAGCCGTCCAAGGTGGGTGCCCGGTCCAACGCCATTGCATTGCGGCATGCCCACCGCACTTCCAGCACGGCGCTCGACCGAAAAGCGCGTGTTCTCGATCGCCGAGCCCCCTCCTCCGCCCTAGCAGATCAGATCAGGCCGACGAGCGGACATGCATGACCCACGCCGACGAGACGGCTCCGATTCAGTCTGATACAAAACGAACATACATTGGACAAGCGTCGCGGAGCTCGAAGGGTACCGAAAACCGCAGAGCGAGGGGAGAGATCCTTGCGCCAAAGTCACCGGCAGACACCCGATCGAGCGTCGAGGGTGCAGCGGGGGACGAGCTAGCGGGCAGGGAGCAGGTCGGCGAGGCGGCGCAGCACGCTGTCGCGCAGTTCATCGCTGCGGCCGCCATCGAGTGCCGCGGCAAACATCATCAGCGGAGCGATGCAATACCATCGGATGGACCTGTCGGCGAGCCTGACCAAGACGTTGCCCACGCCTATGATGAGCAGGGCCTTTTTCATCTCAAAGTCGTCAAGGTTCTTGAAGAAGCCCTCGATAGCCTGGTACAGCGTTTCACCCTCGTTCTCATCGATAGTGCTGCTGCCGTCGCTCACTTGGCGTCCAGCCTGGCCACCGCCCGGGCCGCGACGTTCCCACAGGTCGAGGCAGGCATTGACGGCGGTCACAAAGATGGCGATCTTGCCATCGAGGTCGTCCACGCTGCCTTCGAGGACGTCGTCCGAGCTATTGTTGAGGCGATCGAGGACGCGGTCTTGGCCGCCTGCGAGAGTGCCATCGGGAGCATCCTCGCGGCCCTGGTCGGGGCTGCCATTCGGGCTGCGAGCCACGCCCTCCTCTTGATCCTCGTCGACGCTTTCGGCGAGATGGCCGGCCATGCTGTCCTCCATGCTAAAGAAGGCGCTGTCGTTGTGACCACCAGGCCTGCTGAGACTGGTTTCGGCCCCTCCAGGATCGGCGGACTGCGTATCCATCTCGGCTGCGGATGACGGAGACTGGAAGAGCTAGGTCGGGAAAAGTCGAAGCCGTCGACGAGGTGACCCCAGCGGAAGGTGCGGCTTGCCTGTGGGAGGTGGCGGACCCGCCGACGAGCGGTGTGCAAAGCCTGGACGTGGAGCCAGACTTGAGGGCCCAAGTCACTAGAAGGCGTTGTTGGGCACTCGCAATGACGGCGATGCTTGGTCCGATCTTTCAGCCGGACTTGCGCTTGTGGAAGGCGGGCAGGGATGCAGGGATCCCGGTTCGGTGGTCAAGGAAGTCGGACTGTATGCGCGAGCTTGCGATAGGCCGGGAAGGCGGGCCGCCTCTGTCGATGATCTGGCTTGAATGCCACGCTGACGAGCGGCCAAGGGGTCGCCGGGCGCTTGTGCGAGACTACGAGGCGCACCGAGTGGAGAGGAGGCGACAGCGGCGGCGTCTGTGATGCGCTTGCGATTGACGATGCTTGGCAGGATGGGGGGGAGACGAGCAAAGCCACAGCGACAGCGACAGGGGCGGCGAGTGGCGGGACCGGAGCTGGCTCAACGTGGAAGGACACAGAGAGAGGAGAGGTATCGAGGGCACGAGGCGAAGTGGAAGCCGGAGTAGCTGGAGTACCGCCGGGGATGGCCGGGATCGTCTAGCGTGGCGACACTGACGACGGCGACGTCTTCAGAGGCGAGAAGCCGCCCACACGAGAAGGAGGTTTGAGCGTTCTGACGCCAAGGATTGAGGATGCAAGAGCGGGGGCTTGATGGCAGAGGGGGGTTGCACTCTGATGGTATGGGTTCAAGTGTGGACGGTGGCAGTGGTCGTGGCGGGAAGGGAGAGGTTGCGAGCGCAGCAGGGTCAGACCTGCGTGGCGTCGCTTGCCCGCGCCTCGCTCGCCTGCTCGGTGGCCCCTCGATTTTCCCACCTGCCGCTGCCCTACCGGAGCCACTCCTGGCTTGCCGGGCGAGCTTGCCCTGCATACGCACCACGATCTACGCTCGCTCAGCCGTGCACCGTCGACCAACTCGACCTCGCTGCGACCGAGTGGAAGGACGCGCGGCCTAGCAGCAAGCGGCGGCGGCATGCTGGGCCGGTGCCGCCTAATGGAGGCCAGGCGCTCGAGCCTAGACGCCGATGCTCTTGCATTCGGTAGCGCACGCTCGTAGCCCATTGCCGCACGCCGAGACTGTTTCGCTTGCCGAAAAAGTGACTTGCTCGCCGCGCAGATCTTCCACAGCGTCGATTGGACTGCTCAGTTCACCGACAAGAGAATCGAGGTCACGGCTGAGAGCGATGCGACTGTTTTGTTGTAGAGACAGAAATGGGTTGGACTGCAAGGACCAAGCTAGACGGGACCGGGATGGCAAAAAGCAAGAGACAGGGCAAAGGGCCGGCGAATGCGACCTTGGCACGGGAGCCAGCTTCGGTGCTCTGCACCAGGGCGCTGCACATCGCGTCGACGGGCCTGGTGTGCGGACGTTAGCGGCGGCGACGGAGAGGAACGGCACGGAGGAGCGGGAGCGATCGGGCCTTTGCCTTGTCGCCAAGGTGACCGAGGGAAAACGTGGGCAGCTTGAGCCCGTCCATCTCTCCGATGCGGCCGACGACCTTGCCCAGGAAAGCGTTGAGGCCCTCCTCGTCCTTGCCCGAGACCGGGTGTAGCTGGAACCGTGCTGTCGGGCTAGTCTTGTGCGGCCAGATCCATCCGCTGCGCTTGTCGTCGGAGCGGGCCAGGTTCGATACGGCTCGGAAGGAAAGGGCGGAGCGGAAGAGCTTGGCCCTCTGCGCGCGGTCCAGGCCCTCGACGAACTCGGAAATCTGGGCATCGGTCGGCGTCCGGCCGCTTTCCTTGAGGGAGCGGTAGAGGTTGGACCACGCCTCGCGCTCCTCGTTGGTGGCCTGGCTGGCGACATAGTGGTACGCCGCCACTCGCTTCGCCTGTCGCGCTTCCCACTTCTTTCCGTTATCGAGGGCAAAGTTGACGGGGCGGATGAGGTCCTGCTCCGGCTGCCGGCTGGGAAGCCTGTCCACGAACGCGGCCATCTCCGGAGACGACAGCGAGCCGGGCACCTGCACGCGATAGCCCATGGCGAACGGATCGGCGGGAAGTCGGTTGGACGACTGAGAAGGGAGCGACAAGTCGGCCTTGGCGTTGAGCATCGGAGCTGGCAGGCGTTCGGGATCGCGGGACATCGACGGACGTTCCAGTCCAGTGGAAGGCGGGCGAGTCTCGTCAGGGCCGACCCACGGTCTCCATGAGGCTTGGGCCGTCGTGGGAGGTGAGATGGCGCCAAACTGACCCCGCGCAGCTCCCAGAGGCAGGACTGCGTCGTCGACACGCCCGCCTTCCTGGATCGGCGAGGCGGCGACCGAGATGAGCAGGACCGCGATCGAGAAGAGGGCGGCGGATTTGGCTGGCAACATTATGGCAAGGAAGTTAAGGGGAAAAGCGAGGTCCAGCGGCTGGTCGGAGAAGAACGAAGGTGGCCTGCGGAGCGAGTCAAAGGAGCGTGATGGGTCTGTGAGGACAGAGGACCGGCGACGGTTTCTGAACGTCGGCTTTTAAGGTGACGAGGAGCGACATCGAGCAGCCCTGGTTTGCGCCGCGAAAACAGGGCCACAAGCAAGCGAGAGGGGGCATCGTCGTCCCAGCGAGACGGAGCAATGACCGGAGGTGCTGCGCTGGTCGAGGCATGGATCGACCGCAAATCCGCGTGCCAGGGGCGAAGTGCAAGAAAACACCATGCATGTGTGCGATCGGTCCAGAGCTCAGCCCCGTGCGCCGCCCCGATGGCGAGGATCCATTCATCATCGCCACCATTCTATTGGCGTGGGGCCATCGAGATGAGGCCATCGAGGTGGGTCGTTCAGGCGGGACACGCAAGGCATGACTCGACGCTCGCCCTGGCAAGGTGCTGCGGCGACGTCGTTGCGTGCGCTGCGCTGCGGTAATACAAGCGGCGAGCCGCACCGAGCGGCGCTCGAGCATCGGTGCCGCTTCCAGCGGACGATCCGGGCAGGCCTCAACCAGACGGCTGGGCCAGAGCGGCCATCTTGAGCTACGCAGGCAGCAGCGACCGGCGAAGGCCGCTAGGTCGGTAGGGCAGCTTCAAAGGCATACCGGCAACCCCTAGCTCGGCTTCTCAGGCGGGGGCAACCGGACCGAAAGCAACCAGCAAGTCTGTGGCGCGGGTCGACCGAGCATTCTCCAAGCCTTAGCTCATGAAAAAATCCGGCTCTGGCCCTCCCTTGGCACGTTGCCGAGGAGGTTGATGCAGCAGCTGGATCGTCAGATGATATGCAAGCATGCGCACCAGTGGGAATCGGCGAAGACGATGTGGGCAACACCGGTGCTTGATGCAGCCACAAAGACGGGCTGGTGGTGAGTCGACGAGGCTTCGGTAACCGCCGAGATTTGGCACGGGCAGGCAACTTGGACTCCAGCCTGTTGCCAGCCCGGGCCGTCGCGAGTCAGTGCTGACAATACTGAGGACATCGAGGGGATATGGAAGATACATACCCACTTCGGGCTTCAGCCCCGCGTGCCAGCGCACCGGCCCCAGCAAGGCCGGCCTAGTATTATTGCTAGTCTTCGCCGGTGGGGCAGCATGAAGGCGGCACGTTCCGTGACGCTGCTGAACACCGCCGACGAGATGTATCAGTCTGCGGTGACTGGAAACAAGCTGTAAGTCTTGCCACACCGCCTGGACGGCGCGATCCGACATTTGACGACGCCGAAGCGAGTGCTCGCCCTGGCGGCGCGCCGTGGACGGGCATTCTGCCTCATGCGTGCAGAGTCGAGATAGACGACAGCGCCTTCGCTCCTCCCTCTTGTCCCTGTGCCGAATCTGTGCCGAGGGTGTGACGCGGAGGGTGGTCCCGACGGACCCTCGAAACGTCGGGCCGACCGAGAGTCTGGCGGTTGCTCGATCAACGCCTCCAACTCTGGGCCCTCGGCTGAGACTGCTTGCATCGTTACTTCCAGTCACCGTTTCCGCGCGCAGCAGCACTGAGCCCACCGTCGATGCTCGGCTCAGATCACCATCGGATCGACTCAGTTCCCTTCCGGGTCGTTGAGAGCGGAGAGGTTCCGGGATGGGTCGGCAGTGCCGCGTCGGGATGGATCCGTTGACCCCCTCACTCTCCCTCGTTTCGGATGCTGCCCGTCAACGGCAGCTGTGGTGGAAGGCCTTCGACGGCAGCACAAGGCCGTGACCGCGGTCTGATGGTGGCTTGGCGGACGGACTGTGCCTTGTCGCCACCACCGCTGGAGTCACGAGTGCGATCGGGGGATGCTGTTCCTTGACCGCCCGGGTGGTGGCTGTACGCTGCTTATCCCGCCTTGTAGGCACCCGCGCAGGATCGGCGTCGGATTCACAAGGGTCCAAGAGGAAGCAGCAGGGCGACATCTGCGAGCCTGGAGTGGCGCCCTCGGTGGTGATGGTGGTAGGTGCAATGGCCGGTCCACAAAGGGGCACCTCCACGACAAGGCACCGGTAGGAAAGGCGAGGCAGGGTTCCGCTGCTCGGCTCCGAGCCCGCCGCCTCCACACGCGCTCAGCCCTGCGTCTGGTTGGCCGCATCTTTGCTTCCCCCTCCCGACCCTCCCGACTACCAACATCATCACCACCGTCACCACCATCGGGCCTCACAACCGCCCTAGCTGCCTCTTGATTGAGGCTGCAAGATCTTCCCGCCCCAGTCATGAGCCAGCCTCTCGGCCAACGTCCATCCAGCCAAGCGACCAGGGGCAATGGCAACCCGGCACGTTCTATGCCCGCCCCCGCCTTTGCCAGGCACAGCGCCTTTGGCGATGACGAGGGCGGCGATGAAGACGATCACCAGCGCACATCGCGCTCGAGACGAGAGCGCGAGGAGCTTGTGTCTTTCGACAGGAATGGGGCAGTCAAACGCAACCGGTCGCCACCTCGACAAGGGCCCCGCGTCATTCCCATGACTGCCAACCTCGACTGGCGCCAGGATCGCAAGAAGCGCCTCGGCCTCGAGGAAAAGGCCCGCTCCATGGGCTCACTCAACTCGATGAAGGCCTTCGGACGTCCTTCGACCTCGGGAACTGCGAATCAGCCGTCCGCGGGCGATGGTCCGACCGCTGCGGTACCAGAGAGGATCAACGACCAGGAACAGAAAAAGGGCCTCCAGATCCGTCAAAGGCCAGAACAACCCGACGATGCCATGGACGAGGATGCCCGAGGGGCGGCGGATCGCGATGCGACCCCACCCGCCGATCTGGGTGGCTCGCTCACTCCCCCTCCCGAGACGGCAGAGCAGGCTGCCATCCGCGCCCTCCTCGCCGGCCAAGGCGTCGGCAGCTCTTCCGCCCCCAACGCAGAGCTAGTCATTTCGCAGCCAGACGAGAAGGACCTTCTGCAGAGCGACGTCAACACGAGGCCCGAAGCGCCCACGCTCGACGACTATGCAGCCACACCCATTGACCAGTTCGGCGCCGCGCTGCTGCGCGGCATGGGCTGGAAGGAGGGCATGGGCGCCGGAAGGAATGGCAAGGGTCCTAAGACCGCGCCCGAGCCCAAGAAGAGGGCGGCCTTGCTCGGTCTGGGCGCCAAGGAAAGGCCGGTCGATCCTTCACTGCCATCCAGCGGAGCCAGGTCGTCCCGACCTCCCAGGCCGGATCGGCGGTACGTCCCCGTCGTCCGGGACGCTGCGCCGACGTCATCCAGGGAAGCAAGTTCCGACCCATCAGTGAGTTGCTCGACGTCGTAGCGCTGTTAAATAGAGTGTGCCGCGAGGACATGGGCCTTACCATGGAACCTCTGCTTTGACCCTGACAGACGAGACGAGAGGACCGGCCTGGCTCTCTGGGCAGAGGGCGGCACGATCGATCTGCAAGCCCGACAAGGCAAGATCATGACCGGCGAAGGGGCGACTCGCACCGGGATCGAGAACGAGATCGAGAAAGAGATCGGGATCGAGACGGCTCCCACCGTTCTCGTAGGGATCGAGATGACTATCGGCGGGGAGAGGACAGAGACAGGACTACGAGGGACGATGATCGCCGCGACCGACCACGCTCGGATGCGGAGCGGACTGAGAGGCGGCATCACGACGAGTACCGGTCACGACGCGATCATCGGAGCACGGATCGTCGCGAGAGCGAGCGGGACCGCCATCGGGACTCGAGGCGCTGAGCGGTCGGCTGTCGGGTGCTCGACGGACGAGGTCTTTGGGCCGCTACCTATCAGCTGTGCAGTGAAGTCGTGAGCAGGAGGTGAGGAGTAGCAGTCAATCATCGATGGTAGAGCCGGAATCGACCATCGACAGGGAGCACCGTCTACACAGCGCAATGCATCGCCCGGGGTCGAGGATGTCTTACCTGGCCGGATCCGAAGCCGAGCACTCACTCCTGCTGTGCTGCATGCTGAGGCACGGGCCACGGTCGACGTTCTCCACATGCATACGAGCAAACGCCCTTCTCCGTGGGCCAGGCCGCCTTCGTCCTCCCTTGCGGAGCGACCGCCATACCTCGCCCGTCCTATCCTTGCTCTAACTGATCACCCTTCACGAACGATTCTCTATTTCCAGTCCTTGAAGATGGGGCTAGCATCGGCACCGCGGCTGCTGGGCTACACTGACGATCTGGCCGTGCTCGCGGACCGGCTCGACGTCGCGCTCCAGACGCCCATTCACCAGGTCTATGTGAGTGCGCTCTGGCTCTTCCTACGCTCGTCGTGATGCTGCTGCCGCTGCCGCTGCCGACCTCGAGGATATGAAGACAATTGCTGACCCCTGCCTCGACGCCGGACGCACCACCGCTCCCCAGCTGCCAGTCGGCTACCTCGGTCTGCTGCACGCCATCCGCGTCAGCCATGCCACTCGACAGGTCGGCGGCGGTCTCGGGTCCAAGCTCAACCTCTACCAGAGCGTGCTCCTCAACCAGATCCTGCTGTTTGGTGGTGTCGCACTCAGCTGTGAGCTCCCGCTTGCCCCGTCGCCGCTGTCCAAGCCTGACTCTTCGCGCTGCTAGGGCATGCTCTGACGCCATGCGATTCCTCGTCTGCTGTTCGCTGCGCATCGGCAGCCCTGCTTCTCGGCCTGCCCTGCCCGATGCTGGCGTCCGGTCAGGTCATACTGCTCTACGCCGGTACGCATGTGGCACTGACCCTCAGCGGCATCGGGACTGCTCTGCTCAAGCTCAACGACAACTGGACCATGGGCGTGGCGTGCGTAGTTTAGCACCGGTCAGCGCGATATATACGCCCGAGCGGGATCCAACTGACGCCCCGTTTCCCTCCGCAAACCCTTCCCGGCATCCAGCATGGACATCTTCTTCTCTGCTCTGGACGGCATCTTCCGAGCCGACGGAGTGCTCGCCCTCGGCGTCGACATCGTGAGTCTTCTAGCTTCGGCCTGCGCGGGCGCTTCGCGCCCGACGATCTCGTTCTGACACCCTCGGCGAGCGTCGGCCACCCTCGCATCCCGCTGCCAGGTCCGCACGCATCCCAGCGCTCTCATCTCGACCTCGTACCTTGCCTCGATCGTCAATGGCGCCATCGTGGGTGGAGCCACGCCCCTCATCATCGACGTGCTCCGCCTCGACTCGGCCTCGGGTGACTGGACGGTGCGCACGCCGCGCTGGATCAAGGACCCCTGGGCTGGCACACAGGATCTCTTGAGCGCCGCCATGGTCTCGACGGCCTACCTGGCCTGCATCGACGGCGGCTTCGCCGCTTCCACCAACCCCTTCCTCGGCCCCCTGGCCGATGCGGTCTCGTTCAACCTCGGCTCCGGCGTGACGGCCAGAGAGGCCAGGACGATGAGCATGGTCCTCATGAGCAGCATCCTCGTCGCCCAGCGCCTCGCCGCCATCCCGTCCGAGCTCAACACCGCGCCTCGAGCGCCCGCGAAGAAGCCGTCACCCTCAAAGGCACCCCGCATCTCGAACGGATCGGCAGACGCCGGCCTCGCCGTTCCCCAGATCGCAGCCGCCGACGGGAGCGCAAGCCCGACGAGGAAGTCGAAGAAGGCGGCAAAGGCCAAGTAGAAGAGTGCGCTGGCTGACACCGACGCCGGTGCCAGTTGCGCCGCTGCAGATGCGAGATGTTTGGATTGCAGGAGCTGTCTATGGCGAGGTGGACCGAGGTGCGGTGCGGTCGTACGTACACTGGAGGGCGGGTCTGGCGAGGCGCTCAGTAGATGAGGCAGCTGCGGGCGTACGACGACGAGATAAAGGACGAAGACGAGTGTGGGGTCAGCGACTTGTATAGGCATCCCTGGCTGGACTGGACTGCCACGAGCGAGGGAGCGTCGGCGTGCGCGCACTCACCCTCCATCCACAAAGACTTCGGAGCCGGTCTGGTAGCTTGCGTGCTCGCTGAGCAGCAGGATGACCTGGGCCGTCTGCTCCTCGGGCTCCGAGTACTGGTGTCGGACGCGAGGGTAGAAGAGGGAGTTAGGTGTGCGAGAGAGCCGCCGTGTCGATGTCGCGCGGAGACGAAGGCAACGGAGACTCACGCGCTGCAGGGGGACGCTGGCGGCCTGGAAGCGTCTAGCCTCTTCCGGGTGGACGCCGCTCTGTTCGCTGTGGGTCGCCACGGTTGCAGCGGCGGTCGCAGTCCAAGAGGTCTCGAAACCGTTTCAGCACGCTTCTCGTCATCGTCGAGCGGGTTTCCGAAATTGGAGAGAGAGAGAGAGAGGCATGGGGAGCAAGGGGATGGTCGACTCACGTCCTGACGTAGCCGGGCGAGACCATGTTGACGCGGATGCCGTAGCGCGACCACTCGGCGGCGAGGTTCTTGCCGAGCGACGAGACGGCGGCCTTTGACGAGTTGTAGAAGACGTGGCAGAGGGGCTCATTGAGCCCGACCTGGTTGTAGATCTGGCTCGACATCGACGAGATGATGACGATGCTTCCTGCATTGCACCGGCCGGCAATGGAGCGAGGAGCGGAATGGTCAGTGGCGGAACCGTAAAGGGGGGCACCCTGCGGCGCAGAAGGGGCAAGAGCGACGCACCGTTCTTGTATCCCGTCTCGACCCAGTGTCGTGCGACGGTCTGGGCAGTGTTGAAGACGCCGAGGACGTTGGTCCCAAACATGACTGCACCGTGGCGAGGCGTGGCGGAGGAGCGCGAGCGGTCGGCAGGGGATGCGAGGACGGTCAGTCTCCAAGGCGCGCGGTGGTTCAGGCGCTGCGGGCTCTGTCCGTGACCTCGGCGAGGCAACGCAACGTACAGTCAAACTCTTCTCGGTCCTCGATCTCAATGGCCGGTTTGACGGTGGCGACGCCCGCATTCTGTCGAGAGAGTCGAGGCAGGATGGGATGAGATGAGCACCATTCCATCGATCGCGGCTCTAAGCGGAGGGCAGGGCAGCGGCAGGGGCCGAACTCACAGCGACACACCCAGCAATGGGTCCGAGGTCCTGCACGACGGCCTTGATGGTCTGGCGAACGTCCTTCATGACCGACACATCGCAGCGGTACGCCTTTGCGCTGATGCCGTGCTCGGACGCCAGGTCGGCGGCCACCTGCTCGGCATTGGTCGAGGAGCGGTAGAGGATGGCGAGGTTACCACCCGCCCCGGCGATGGCCGTCGAGATTGCCAGGCCGATCTGGACGGGGTGATGGACGGGCGAGGATGGGGATGGAGATGTCAGGAGAGGCGGAAGAGGTGGACTGGGCTCGGGTTACCTCACTCACGCCGCGGTTGCCGCCGGTCTAGGAGAGGGTGGTATCGGAGAGGAGGGATGGGCAGGATGAGCGGCATGCTACGAGGACGATACCGAAGCAAGCGCCGTCTACTCACGACGACGAAGAGCTGCGAAGACGGGCGGGAATCAAGGAAAAGGCGGAAGGATGTTGTTCGAGGAAGTCAGTCGAGCAACACGTCACCCGTCTGGCCGCGGGCGAAACGACGTTTTACCTTGTCCTTGAAGTCGATGGTAAACATGCTGTTTGGTCGCGTCGAGAAGGTCGTCGTGGCTTTCGAGGGAAGTGTGGTCAAAGAGGTGCTGGTGGCGAGAAAGAAAGGCAGGCAGGCTCTCTGATCTTTGCGCTCGTCGAGGCTCAGCAGGCTTCGAAACGAGGGCAGGGCACGCACTGGCCAACACCGTACCGCACGCTCGCCTCGCTCGACGAGATCTTCCGAACGGTAGCGGTGCCCACGCCGATCCACCGCCGGCAGCGTGTGGGGGAAGGAGGCGCATTCGGTCACTTTAGACGCCGGTCGCCGCTGGCCGCTGGTCGCTGCCGCCGCGATTGCCGCCGATATCAAAGTAGCACGATATTGTTGCAATCGGGCCAGCTGCGGTAAGGCCTTTTGGCTTGGCTTGGGCAGAACGGTCGCTTAGCCTCCTGCCTGCTTCGGTCGGGGCTTTCCCATCGTAGCCCAGGGACCGATGGATGGACATGAACGACATGGATGGAGTACTCTCACGAGTCCGAACCAGGCAGAAGCCGAGCTCTCGACGCGTGTCGCTGGGATTACGAGCACCATCGGCAAGTCGTGGTGATGTTTGCGAGATATGCCGAGATTGGTCCTCATTTCAGCGACACAGATTGCCAATTCCATCCGTCCCATCTCAGATGCCAGATGAAGCGACCCCGGAGCCAAGATAGAGCGAATGAATGCCTCTTCCGCTGCAGGGACCAGCTCGCGAGCGAGACCGGGCTTACATGATCGACTGCTCGCCGCGCGGCCGATGCACTCCCGAACCGTACAGATCGCCCTTTCCGTGCCAGGCACGATTGATTGAAGGTCGATGGAGACGGAGCGAAGTGTTTTCGGCGAGAGTGGAATCGGAGAAGTCGATGTCCAAGATTGGGCAAAGTGGTTCTTGGACGGGAGCGGAAGTGGTCCCAGAGGTTCCCATGACCAACGGCGGTCGTCTTGGTCGTGTCAGTCCGGTGACTGCCGAGCGGGCCGGTCGTCGGAGAGACAAAAGAAGAGGGATTCGGGTTCGGCAAGCCAGCCAGCCAAGACAGCCGACAAGACGGAGAGAAGACGTAAAGACAATGGTCCGAGTCCGGCGACGACGACAATGACGAGCGACGAAAGACAGAAAGAAAGACGCTTGGTGGTGGCCGCTCTGGCCTGCACCGACGCGACATGGCCCGCCTAGCGGGGCGGGGGCCAAGGCCTGGCCTGGTCGTCGCAAGTGAGACCAGGCGGCGTGCGCCGTGGCTACACCCACCACATGCCCGCATCGACCTTTGTGGGGATCAAGCTTGAATCGGTCAGGTCCAGGAACGCGAGTGCGCACCATCGTAAGCTGCACTTTGTGTGGGCCGTTCCGCTCGCCGGCCGCCCGCTCGCTCTCGGCATCGCGCGTCTGCGACGTTCGGTCCGTCTGTCTGTATCGGCTGCTCGAGGCGAGAGGAGAGCGGAGTGGATCTGCATTGCCGAGTCCGCCCCCCTCTCCGTTTCCCCGCAAAGAAGGAGCGGGCCAGCGGCCGTTCGGCGACGACCTGCCTTCCGCAAAAGCCGCGCTCGCTGATCATTCCCCCATCATCCGATGCCCCGCCATCCCTCGCATCGCAAGCGCCAGAAACGCCACGACGGCCTTTGACCTTTCACGCACCACATCGCCTTGCCTTGCCTGACTGCGGTTGACCGCTCCGAGATCCGACGACGGCCATCTCGCCGTGGCAGTCTTAGTTTAGTGCTTCTACTCTACGTGCAGCAAGTACGGCATACTCTGACTCGAGGAGGCGACGTGAGCATGCCCTCACGCTCAGACGGTCGATCGAGCGAATGAACTTGACCAGGTCCATCGCTGCATAGACGACCTCTTTTCGGCGTGCCCCATTCAAGGACAATACGCAGGCAGGCCACCTTACCTGCTCTGACAGCCCCACAACTCTATCTCGTCGTCGTCTCGTCTGGTCCACACTCCCGGCATCGAGCAGCAACAGGATGCGGCGCCCGCTATCATCGTCCGCCGAGCGTCGTTGACCAGAGTACAGACGAGTCTGCAGTCGGTCAGCTCGCCGCCGCCGACCCGAACGACCGACTTGGCCGCCTTGCCGAATCTCGTCTAGTCGACGAGCGCGAGGCCGCAGCCGATATCCACCGCTTGCCCTGCGAGGCTGGTTCCCATGCTCTTCCCCCCTGCTCGCTCGCGACCTGCTTCTCCTCGGATGCCGTCCCATGGTTCGACGTGGGTACGTACGTACAAAGTACGCACGGCCGAGCGCAAGCAAAGACCAGCCACTCCGCTCGTCCGCTCGTCCGCTGCGGGCGAGTGTGGGGAACCTGCAGCCGCCGGAGCCCACCGTACGCCCGAGCCTCGTCGGGGCGTACAGCAATGCGCGAGCTACATATGTATAAGAACCCGGGCAAGGCAGCACCTTCCTCCTTTGTCGGCATCGCCCTGCCTTCCTGTCACCGCTCCCCGTCCCCTCCTCTCACCGCTCGCGCCCCTTCCCTCAGTCCCCCCTGTCTTGTCCCCTCTTCTGTACCCGCCCTCTCCCCCGCTCTGCCCCGCCTCGATATCCCCGACAAGCCCCTAGCCCACCATGCTGCTCTCGACTCGCTCTCTCCTCTTGTCGCTGCTGGCGGCCCCGTTCGCCCTCGCCGCCCCCTCGTCGCCGTCTCTGCTGGCGACGCGCGCCGCGGCAGTGCCCCCCACGACCGACGCCCCTTTCTCCGTCTCGGCGGCCACGGTGCAAGGCGCCATCGAGTGCCCCTTTGGCATCCAGCGCAAGCCCGGAGGCATCGTCTACCTCATCCATGGCACCGGCAGCACGGGCAAGGAATCCTGGGGCTCCGGCCCCTGGGTCTCCCTCCTGCCCAACCTCGGCCCCGGCTTCGACGTCTGCTACGTCACCCTGCCCGACCGCAGCCAGGGAGACGCCCAGATCTCTGCCGAGTACGTCGCACGTGGCGTCCAGTTCCTGGCTCCCCAGTCGGCCACGGGCAAGGTGAGCCTCGTCGGCCACAGCCAGGGTAACCTCAACATCGAATGGGCGCTCGCCTTCTGGCCCGTCGCCGCCCGCAGCCTCACCGCCGAGTACATTGCGCTCGCCGCCGACTTCCAGGGCACCCTCGACGGCATCCTCTACTGCAGCGCCACAAAGATCCTCGAGGGCGGCTGCCCCGCCGCCGAGTTTCAGCAGTCGACCGGCAGCCACTTTGTCAACACGCTGCGCAAGGCCACGGCCAACAGCGCACTCGTGCCCACGGCATCCATCTACACCATCTACGACGAGGTCGTCACGCCCGAGGTCGGACCGGGCGCCACGTCCGTCATCAACAAGGCCAGCCTCTACCCGCTGCAGGACCTCGACATCTGCGGACCGCTCCACCCCGCCGAGCACTTTAGCATGATCATCGACCCCGCCGCCTTTGAGATCGGCTACAAGTCGCTCGTCGCGGGCAAGCCCATCGCCCGCTCCGCCATCGACAAGCGCTCCTGCATCGACTTTTACTACGGCACCGGCTTCAACAACAACACCTTTGCCAAGGGCGCGGAACTCCTCGAGGCCATCGTCAAGGACGTCGTCTCGTTCCCCACGGCCGACGTCGTCAAGGCGGAGCCGGCTATCAAGGCCTACGCCGCGCCCTACGCCGCCTGAGTCGTTGCTGCCGTCGCTGCCGTCGCTGCCGTCGCTGCCGTCGCGGCGACATGTCCACGTCCTTTCATACTCTCACCCTCTCTCTCTTGCTCGCTTGCTCTCTCCCGTATCCCCACCTTCTCTCAGTCGCTCGTTTTCTCTCTCTCCGTCTCTCTCCTCCTCTTACCAACCTGTTCCTCTCTCTATCAGCGTCCCGCGCCGTTCTCCTTGGTTCGGCGGCGGCCAGACAGCTAGATCCTGCGCTTTCTTTCCCCCCTACGTTGCTCCATCTCCCCTGCCGACCTCCCTCGATTCGCTTCTACCTGTACCTGTACCGGTACCGGTACCCGCCCACCCTCTGCGCCTTGCGCCCCGAGGTCGTGGTTTTAGTCGTAGTCCGACTTGCCTCGCCGCTGCCTATACCAACGTCACCGTTCCATCTGATGCTTTGCTTCCGGTGTGTGGATCGGTATCGACGCGCTCGCAACTCCTTCACTATCGACGCAGGGAGAGAAGGAGAGAATTGACCGATCCACGGACGACAGAGGACACTCCTCACCATCGGCCGTCTTGTCCCGTAGTGCATCTCTCGCACGCGCGTGCCGGGCAGGCAACGCCAAGAGGCCTGCCAAGCGGCACGAGGGAAAGCCAAGAACCGACGCGATGACGATTGAACAACGAGCAAACGAGCGAGCGTCGGAGAAATTGGAATCAAAGTCGCCGTTGGGCCGGCACGACAGCTGTCAAGGAACAAGAGCTAGGGACACCATATCTACACTAGCCTGACCTGGCCTGCCTAGCTCCTCCAGCGACACTGTGTAAGACTTCGAGCCTGATTATATTGTCTTGGCATTTGCCGCCTGTGTCCGGCCAAGTCGGCCTTTTCGCTCCAGCTCCTCTTCTGCCACGCGGCCCACGATGGGCTCCGCTCCGTTTCTTGGCTTTCCTTTCCGAGGCAAGACGACGCTCCTAACGATCAGAGCCGTGTCCTGACGCGCCCCAAGATCTATTGCTCGCCGTGGGCCACGATGGCTAGGTATGCGGGCTGTACATACAGTCCAAGACCATGGACGTACTTGGCGCGGTGCCACACTCGGCCTGCGTAAGCGCTCTCGTGTGATACTTCGTCTCGCCCTGCTCCGCGAAATCGGCAGAACCATACCTCCGACCTCCCTCCCCGGCGTCCGCCTCCCTGTTTGCCCCGCTTCTCCGCAATCGATTTGGTCGCCGGCAGCGGAAGCAGGGCTGGTAGAGTACGGACGAGGGGCAGGGTACATGCCAAGAAACCAGCACGGCGGCCCTAGTCTAGCACTGCAACACGTCTGATCAGGCGGAGTGGACGTCTTTCCCGAGAGAGCTGACCGAGCAGCTACTTAAGTACGGGCATCGTCGAGTCCACAGTGTGTCCCCCTACATCCCAGAAACCCTCTGAACGACCCCCCTACCCGACCATCACGTTGCACCCAGTTGGACAGACGATACCGCCGCCGCCGCCGCCATGGACGAAAAGAAATCGACGCGTCACGGTCCGGATGGGGCCACGGCCGACCTCTCGCCCAGCGACCGCTCCTCGTCCTCGTCCCCGACCTCGCCATCGCCCACACCCGCTCGCAGCCCCACCGACGTCGACGCCCACCATCCGACGAAGGTGGAGGGGGCGGAAATCGGCTCGACGCGCGACGGAAAGCTGACACGGTGGCTCAAACGCTTGGGCGACCTGCCCGAATACGGCCTGGGATCCCGCGGCAAGCTTCAAGGGCCTCCCCTCAACTGGGCAATAGGCATCATCGCATCGATTGGATTCTTCAGCTTTGGATACGATCAAGGCGTTTTGGGAAGCCTCGTCACGCTGGACGACTTCCAGCGGTCGATTCCGTTGATGACGCCGTTTACGACGTTCAACGCGGTCTGTTTTATTGGGGATCCGGCGGATGGCGTGCGGGATCCCGCCAACTGCCGGGGCGATCCGAACACGCAGGCGGCTGCGATTGCCGTGTACCAGATCGGGTGCTTCCTGGGCAGTCTGCTGGTGCTCTTCTACGGCGATGCGTGGGGGCGGAGGTCGTCGACCTTTTGGGCGTCGTGGGTCATGATCATTGGCACCGTCTTCCAGGCGGCGGCGACGGAGCCGGCCAGCTATGCGCTCATGATCGTCGGCCGTGTCATTGGCGGCGTCGGCAACGGCATCGTCACCTCGACGATTCCCACCTGGCAGAGCGAGTGCGCCAAGCCGGCTCAGCGCGGTATTCTGATCCTGCTCTCGGGATGCTTGATTGCCGGCGGCATCGCGATCAGGTGAGTAGTAGGCGTTTTGGCGGCGCGGTTTCGCTTCCCCTCACGGTGCGACGCGTTCCTTTCTTTCGCTCACGGTGCCCGCCCTTCCATCCTTTCTGCACGATGCACTCGTTCGCTCGCTACCGCTACTTCCCGACGAACGCCACTTTTACTACCCCGACCAGCTACTGGGTCGACTACGGGTTCTACTTCCTCGAGGGCACGGTACGATGGCGCTTCCCGATCGCCTTCCAGTCGTTCTTCACGCTGATCGTCATCGCGGGCATCCTCTGGCTGCCCGACAGCCCGCGGTGGCTGCTGATGCGCGGGCGCACCGACGAGGCGCGCGACGTGATTGCACGCTTCGCCGGCCTGCCCGAGGACGACGAGCGGGTCGAGGCCGAGATGCACAGCATCCAGGAGGCCCTCCACGTCCAGAACGCCGGCGGCGGCTTCAGGCTGCGCGAGCTCCTGACCAACGGGCCGTCGCAGAACCTGCGCAGGCTCATCATCGCCTGCCTGGCCCAGTTCTTCCAGCAGATCGGCGGCATCAACCGTGAGCGCCATGGCGTGGCATGACGCGTCTCGCCGACAGCTATGTAGAAGACATGGTGGCTGATTCCTGCCGGTCCTCCTCCCTGTTCCTCCCTCATTCTGGCTGGGCACCTCCTGCAGTTGTGACCTACTACGCCACGCTGCTGTTCGAAGACTCGCTGGGCTTCAGCCCGGACATGTCACGCCTGCTCGCAGCGGCCAACGGCACCGAGTACTTCCTCGCCGCCCTCGTGGCCCTGCCTCTCGTCGAGCGCACGGGGCGACGGACGCTCATGATCGTCGGTGCGGCGGGTATGGCGGGCAGTATGGCCGTGCTGGCGGGCATGGTCTCGACGGGCACCCAGGGGCCCGAGGGCGCGCCCATCCTCGACACGGCACCAGGAGTGGTGGCCACCGTGTTCCTCTTCGTCTTCAACTCGTTCTTCGCCCTGGGATGGCTCGGCATGACTTGGCTCTACCCCGCCGAAATCTCGTCGCTGCGCACCCGGATCAGCGTCAACGCCCTCTCGACGTCGACAAACTGGCTCAGCAACTTCCTCATCGTCATGATCACCCCGCCCGGCCTCGCCTCGCTCGGCTGGCGCATCTACATCATGTTTGCCGTCTTCAACGCCGCCATCATCCCCGCCGTCTTCCTCCTGTTCCCGGAGACGCGTTCCAGGAGCCTAGAGGAGATCGATCTCGGCTTCGCCTCGGCCCACGCAAAGCGCATCAGCCCCGTCAGGGAGAGCCTCAAGATGCCCAGGTACGAGGGCAGGCAGCTCGACGCCAAACTCGCAGAGTACTTTGGCGGCAGTCGTCCCGCCGCCGTCGAGACAGGGGCAGCGCCGAGCGGCGTCGAGCAGACAGCCAGCAAGGCCTGACTGGCGGCGCCAGCGCACGACCAGGGCCGGTCCCGTCCGATGTGGCTGTAGCATCCTGTCGCGGCTCCAGCAGGACAGAGTAACGACCCGTAGAAATCCATCCTACCTGTATTGAAGAGCGCTCAGACCGTGGGTTGCTCGGCCACAGTGTCAATCAGGAATCACTCGGGTTCTCGCTTCGTCCTCGACGCGGCCGGGATGGGCTGGGGATGGCCGCCAAGGTGGCGCCACCATCGTCGACCCCGCCCGCGACAAGATGGGTATACACTGCCTTCGTTCGTGGCCCCATGACAGCCCCTTTCCCCTCCTTCTGAGCTCATTCTTTGCGCCCTCCGCCCCCGAGTCAAGTTCAGTGCTCGCAGAAAGAGTACACGTCGTCGAAGCGAGAGTCATTGTCGGCCAGGACGGCGGCGGTGCGCTCGTCCATGAGCTTGAGGCGGTGCTCGAGCGCGCTCTCGGTGCTCATCAGGTACGAGGCCGCGCCGCCGTCACCGCCGGTGCGGCCCTCCTTGGCGCCTTTCATGGCCGTGGCGGAGCGCGCCTCCTCGTCGGCTCGTACCGCGGCGTCGAGCGTGTCAAAGATGCGCTCGATGACTGCAGGTAAGGTGGACAGAACATCAGATGGGAGGAAGGGGAGGAGAGGTCGCAGAGGTCAGTTGGGACTCTTTCCTCGGCGGCTAGACTACGGTCGATCGATCCTACTCACGCTCGGGTGGCAGCTGCGAGAGGCGGCTGCTCGAGTCGCTCCACAGGTGCCGGGTGGCGTCCTTGAGCCAGCCGACCTGCTGCGGCACCACCCTGGCCGTCGAGACGACCGGGTGGGCCGGGTCGATGAGCCAAAAGAGGACAATGGTGCGGTGGCCCGGCCGGGAGGCGTCGACGAGGTCGAATCCGGACAGCTGGTGCTGCATCGAGTTGGGAAAGGCGATGCTGCTGCCCGGGCGGGTGCGCACCGAGCCCAGCACCTGGTGGGTGGCCGTCTGTTCCTGCTCGATGCCGTAGAGGTGGAGCAGGTGCTCAAACTGGTTCTGCTCCGGCCGCATCGACATCGACTCGGCGTCGACGGCCATGCGGAAGCTGAGCGAGGCGTCCGTCACGTTGTTCGAGTCGAGGTAGTGGATGCCCGTGGCGCAGATGTGCTCGCCCACGGTGCCCTCGAGGTGCCACGAGCCGCCGGCGTACGACGGCTTGTCCGGGGTCAGCAGGATCGTCGACACCTTGACAATCACCTGCAGCGTACGCCCGCCGAGCTCGACCTTGCGCAGCGTCGGCGGCTCAAACGGCGCCACGGGCGGGCGCACAAACTCCTTGTTGTCCTCCCACTCCTGCTCGACCAGCGCCTCGCGCCGGTCGTCCTCGTCGGCGCACCAGTAGAGGTTCTGCATGGCCATCACGTCGACGTCTTTGCACTTTTCCTTGACCTCGTCAATCGAGGGCGTAAAGTACTCGAAGTAGAGCAGATCCTTGCGGCTGTTGGGCACCTCCTGCGAAAACGGTGTGCCCGTGGGCGAGAGGAACGCCGTGTCTCCGCGCTGCGGGAACGACGCCAGCACGCTCTCAAACGCCGGCAGCAACGCCGCAAATGCCGCCGCCAGGGGCTCGTAGAGGGCAAGCGTGCGGTCCTGGAACGGCGAAAGGCCGTTGATGTACGACACGAAGCTGGCGCTGGGCGTGCCGGAGCCGGCGTCGACGTCGACGCGGATCTCGGCGGGTAGCCATCGGTACTTGGTGCCGGATTCGGACTCGGATTTGGGCAGGTCCGGAAGCGTGATGGTGAGCCCATCGAGCGTGGGAGGGTATGGCGCCTTCATCGCGGCGCCGGCCGACTCCGCCTCGAGCTTCTTGTCCGCGTCGCTCATGGCCACGTCGGCGGCGGCCCGCTTGCCCTCTTCGCCGGGATGTAGGCGCTTGAGCAGCGCGGTTGCGTTGTATGCGAGCACCGAGGGCTGGCCGTCCGAGCAGCTCGAAAACTCGGCGGGCAGGACCGGCGTGAATGCATGCAGCGGGTGGAGCGAGGGGTGAACCAGGTTCCACACCTGGTCGTCGGAGCGCGGGTGGTAGTCGCGCCGGGTCTCTGGGATCGACTGCGCGTACTCGCCCACCGTCCGCTTGAGCGCGTCGACGGTCTGGGGGCCGACGAGGACGTCGGAAACGTACACGCCGGGGACGCCGCTGTACTCGACGCCACGACGAGGTGGGTTGGTGGCCATGTAGCGCATCTTGGCGATCAGGTAGTCGGCCTGGCTGGGGGAAAAGCCCTGCTGGTCGATGGCCTCCTGCCTCCATTTGGCGGCGATGGTCTCGTCGGCCGCCTTGGCTTTCCAGTCGTCCTTTTCGAGGAGCGCGCGGATGGCGGCGTCGACCTCTCGCTCTGCGGCGGTGTAGGGCTCTGCGGCCTCGAATTCGACGTTGGGAGCGCGGTAGTAGCTGTGTTCGTGGATGTGCTGGTAACCGTCGGGTCCGCCGCCGAGCATGCGGGTGGCCAGGACGGCGGCAATGGTGAATGTGTCGTCGAGGGACGCGCCCTCTTGGTGCACGGCGGCGACGAGGCGGTTGAAGTTGGCCGGGTCGAGAAGCCAGGTGCCGTCGTCGCCGAGGCGGTTGACGCGGGCAAAGAGGTCCGGGTCGTTGCAGTGGTGGAGGCAGGGAGGGCTCATGTTCCAGCTCGAGGTGGCGACGATGCTGAGGCCGACAGTCTCCGGGGGCGGGCCAGCGGCGGCGGCGGTTGATTTCTTGGTGGCCCGCTTGCTGCCGTTGGCGGGTTTCGCGGCGTCGAAGGTGGCGGGGTCGGCGTTGAGCTTGTGACAGGTACGCTGGTCTACGCCCGAGAGCGAGACGATAGCAAAGAATGAGTGGAGGGTGTCAAGGCCGAGGGCGACGAGGGCGCGGTCGAGGGCGTGGCAGGCCTGGAGCGAGATGGGGCTGGGCTCAAAGGGGCGGCCGCCGAACTTGTACGCCTTCTGGACGAGCTTGGAGTATTCGGCGTCGAGGCGTGCGGGGAGGGGCTGCTGGCCGTTTTCGATGCGGATGAGGGCGTCTACGTAGCACTGAAGCGCGAGGACGGGGACGCCGACGAGGTAGGCGGGCAGGATGCCCGTGCAGAGGTCAATGAGGGCAGCATGGAGCTCTGACGAGACGCGGACCGGCTGCTCGGGTGCGAGCGCGGTGGCGGGCGTCGACGACGGAGGCATGGCGGTGGTCCGGGGGAATGGACGGGCCAAGGTTTCGCGGAGGAGCTGAGCGGCTGCCTGGGCAAGTGGCGGTGGTCTCAAGGGGTCAGTCGGAGGCCTGGAAGGGATCAAAGGAGGAGAAGGGGTGGAAGGCGAGGAGGGAAGGGGGGGAGGGCGTCGTCGAGAGAGGGGGAGGGGGGAGGGTAGAGGGAAGGAGGGGAAAGGAGAGGGACAGCCTCTCTGACTGAGCTCTATTTGCGCATGGATCAGCTGCCTGCCTGTCGTCCATCCCGGGCCAAGCTGGTCGGGCGCGTGCAAATCTCCTCGTTGCCAAGGCTGGTCAGCCCAGCTGGGCGTGGCGGCGGGCCAGGGCACGCTACCGTATGGCACGGTAAGGTACGCTGGCTGGCCAAGGAGCACGAGCAGCGCCTCGTCGGAGTCGGTCCGGGCCGGCCAGGTAGCCAGACGTATGGAAGGGTGCAAGAAGGTAGGCGAGAGCGGGAGACGTGCGTCCTGCCCAGACGACAGCTGCACCCCTCCTGCACGCCTGCAGCCCCACGCTCCAAGCCAAGCCACCGCGCCAACAAGCACCAGCAAGCAAGCACGAGCAAGCAAGCAAGCAGGAGCGAGCTTTGATTGCCCTCGGCAGGCTCCCGAGACCCGACGTTCGCGGGAGCAGCCGCCACAACTCACCATCATCGCCCTCGAGCCAAGGTCAAGGCGGCTCTGCCGACAACGAGGGCGAGCCACAGCAGATGGGCAAACCCAAAGCAGGCAAGCACGCAGGCAGCCATGGGAGGAATCTCGAGTCCTGATCGCATTTCAACCATCGACACCCCCGGCCTCGTGCGGACAACCCTCGCCGTCCCCCGACACCCTCCGCCGAGCCATCGCCCGCGCCGCCTCACTGCTTCTTCTTGCCGCCCGCCACCGCCGTCGCCGCCGACGCGTCGTCGCCCATGCAGATGGCAAAGTTGTTGCGGTACGCACCGCCCACGAGCTCCTTCTTGCGGTACACGGTGCGGTCCCACTTGTTGCGCGGCGACTTTTTGCGCTTGAGCAGCCACCGCGTCAGCCGCTTCGAGTCGTCCTGCACCACAACGTCGTACCCAGCGCTCGAGACAATCGAACGAAGGTGGTCGTGCGTCAGGTAGCGCGAGTTGGTCAGGCACGGAAGCGGCAGCACCAGGTACAGGTATCCGCCCGGCCGCAGATAGTGGTGCGCGTGCAGCAGCATCTCGCCTGGTTTCAAGGGCAGGGCCGCCGGGGAAAAGGTTGACAGGTCGCCGCAGCCAGACGGGAGAGAAGCAAGCAAGTCAGTCAGGCGTCCCCTTGTCTTCCTCGGCTCATCCCGCCACTGGGCTCACCTCGCTTCTTGAGGTCGCCGACAAAGTTGATGACCAGGCTGAGGGCCACCATCTCAAACTTTTCCTCTTCGTTGGCCGGCTTGGGCAGGTCGAAAAAGTCGCACTTCTGCACGCGCTCCGAGCGCGGGTTGAGGTCAATCGACGTCGCCTTGATCCAGGGGAACTTGTCGTAGCTCGTCCCCGCAATGGCACCGACGTCGAGCACCCGCATCTGCGCGGCGACGGTGGCGGCGAGCAGAGGCACAAGAGTGCAAGGGGGCAGCTCGTCGTCAGCAACGACACGACGGTGCGCTCTGAACGGCAAAGACTGGGACGCTGACGATCGCTTACTCACGGCCTTTTTCCCTCGGAGCTTTTCGACCTGCTCTGCGCACCACTTGCCGCTCTCTCCGCCCTTTAGCCGGTCGCCGCCCTTGAGCGAGTCCTCCTGGTAGGCCTCTAGGCCGCCGAGCTGCTCCTGCTCGGCCTTGATCCTGGCCTGCTCGGCTGGATCCGTGGTCCTAGCGAGTTCCTTTTCGAGGGTGTGGTAGCGTGCGATCCTGAGCGAGTGCTCGCTGGGCGCGTCGCTGTTCTTGTCCTTCTTGACCTTCTTGGCCGCGTCGGCCTTGACCTCGGCGTCCTTGGTGGGCTTGCCGGCCTTGTTGGCGCGTACGGCGTCCGAGGTGGATGACGACGTCTTCTTGTTGTTCTTTGCGCCTCCACGCTTCCCTCTTTGCCGGATGAGCTTCTTTTTGCCGTCGGCCGTGGTGAGCACCTGGGCGCCCGGGATGGTCGGGTGGTCCTCGAGGGTGCCCTCGACCTCCTTCTTGACCTTGACCGTGCCCGCTGCGGCGGACCTTGGGTTCGACATGGTGCCCGTATGTAGGTTCGACGTGGTATGCGGTGGTGGCGGGAATGTTCGAGATCAGAGAAGCGTCCGAGGTTCGAGTCGAGGAGGATGGAGGGATGCAGGAAGACGAGGAGGAGCAGCAGGTGTCGCCAACACCGCGCTCGCGCCGAGTGGAGAAGAAGGAGCGGCGGCCAAAATTCGCAGCGGTTTTTGCGCCGAGCCGCCCTCTGGCAAGTTTTTTCGGGGCCGGACTTCGGGACTCGGGAGAGCGGGGCGGGGGACGGTCAGAGGCAACAGGCGGGGTGCAGGCAGGGCACAGGCCTGGAAGAACGAGCAGGCCGGCAGCTGCCCGCCCCTTGCTCCACCTCGAGCCCGCGTCCGCTTTCTTCCTTTGTCATCCGCCTCGGTCCCACCGGCGCGTTCCTCTTTCCTCTGGTTCCCCTCCTCCTCCTCCTCCTTGCTCGACTGACCACCGACCACCATCACCCCTTGCACCCGCACACTGCTCACACCACCATGTCGCTCCATAGCCGCACCGCCACACTCGCCGCCACCGCAGCGCGCAGTGTCCTTCGCTCCACTGCCGGACCTCGACAAGCCATGGTCCTGCCCCTGCCGCCCGTTGAGCGGCTGCGGCTCCTCTCGTCGTCGTCGCCGCTGCGCAACAGCCCAAAGCCAGCCACCAACACCGACCCCTCAGACATCTCGACACCCGGCTTCCAGCCTCGCCCCTCGAGCTCCTCGTCGTCGTCCTCTTCCTCACCGCCCCCAGGCCCCGGCCTCACCCCGCGCGTCGGCACCGTCTTCATCTCTCTCACCCTCTTTGGCGTCGTCGTCACCGCCTACGGCCTGTACGAGTACTACACCTCCTTCTCCACATGGCCAAAGGAGCTCCGCGACGACCTCCGTGCCGCACTCAAGTCGCGCAACCGCGGCGACGCCCGCAGGGCAGAGAGCTTCTTCCGAAAAGCCCTCGACAACGCCCGCTCTCTCAAGCAGCAGGGAAAGCTCGGCACCGGCAGCGACGTCCTCAAGACGACCGGCATCGCCATCGCCCTCGCCTCCCTGCTCGAGGACGAGGGGCAGCTCGTGGCTGCCTACCTCGTCTACCAGGACGCCCTCGACGAGGTGCGCCAGGAGGGCGCCTTTGACCCCATCCTCCAGGCCAGGCAGGACGGCGAGGCGGGCAAGGTGCGCATCCGCAGCAGCAAGAAGAAGGACCGTACGCCCGAGGAGCGCATGCGCGCCGTCGCCATCGCCCAGCGCATGGGCGACCTCGCACAGATCGACGAGGTCCTCGCCGCCGTCATCGACCTCGAAGAGGCCGCAGCCCCGGCAGGCGCGGCAGCCGGCGCCGGTGGAGCAGCGGGGCGCAGAGCACCTCCACCCATCACTGGCACCGTCGAGAGCCCAGACCCGGCCGAGCGCAACCTCGTGTGGAGCGTCGAGGAGATGCTGCGCCTGGCGCTGCCCGAAGAGGTGCGCCAGAAGGCACTCGACGCCGCCGCTGCGGGGTCCAAGGAGGCCACTGGCGTCGTCGATCTCGCCGGTGGCGGCGCGGCGGGTCGGATCAGCGACGAGGACAAGGTGCTGATCGCCGACCTCAAGCTGCCGCCGTGGGTGACGCAGCACGAAATTGGTGCGGCCATGGAGGCGCTGGGCAGCTTCTATGCGACACGAGGCAAGGCCGAGTACGCCGTGCCGCTGTACCTGCAGGCGCTGTCGATCCTGATGCCGCCGCCGCCCTCGTCGTCTTCTGCTGCTGGCACGAGGAAGCAGGCGACGGTGGCGGATCGGTGCCGTGCGGCGGTGCTGATGAACAATCTGTCGCAGCTCTTTGTCGAGACGGGCCTCGATGCGCGGGCCCACTCGGCGTCGGACCTGGTGCAGGCCAAGTCGTGGGCGTCCAAGGGGCTCGAGATTAGCGACATTACCATCCGCAAAGCCGGCTTTGACGGGCCGCCACCGTCGAGCAGCTCGATCAAGACGGTAGAGGAGACGAGCGAGGAGAGGACGCGGCAGGTCAGGATGGAGTGCCTGCGCGTCCAGATTACGCTCCTCTTCAACCTCGGCGTCATGTCAGAGGTGAGCTGGGGCCGACTGCGACGACGACGACGACGACGACGATGACGATGATGGTGACGAGATACTGACCTTGGGGAGCGGTGGACTTTTCCCCTTCTGCTCCTTGCCGCCTCGCCAGATGACGGGCGACGTGTGCGACGCGCGAAAGTACTACCAGCGCGCGTTCCAGCAGGCGCAGGTGGCGGACCTCGAGGTGGCCAAGACCAAGGCGGCGGCGGCGCTGGCCAAGCTCGAGCGACGCTCCGGCAGCGCAAAGGCGGCGGTGGCGTGAACGATGTCGCACCCGTGCAGGCTGTAGAGGATGCGGGAGTAGAAATCATGTCAGAGCCGTGCGATGTTCGAGCGCCAGAGCCTGATTCACCTGGCCTGGCCGTCAGGAGCACGTTGTCCCGACCAGTCCTAGGCTTGGCTGGGCTGGGCTGACCGCATCGTAGTCCGCTGAAAGGCCTGTCTGGTCGAGGTGCGAAGGCAAGAAAGAGACCAAGAGCGTGGCCTGGCCGGGCTGAGCCCAAGACGTCGGCCGCCGCGTCCCTTCGCACGGAGCATACAGCACGACGGCTGGGGTTGCCGGCCGAGAGGGCGTCGGCATCGCTTGCTGGCTGCCCCGCTGCAAGTGGAGGCTTGAGCAAGCAGGCGCAGCAGCACAGCACAGCCAAGCCCACGAAGGGGTGACTGAAAGCCGCCCAAAAGCCGGCGGCGGTGGCTGTAGCACGACATCCCCGACGCTTGATCCTTCATCGCTAACCATCCCCGCCACCTTCGCCACCACCGCCACCACCACCGCTGCTCAACACCCTCTCGCAACACCACAGCAACCTTACATGCTGCTCGCTCGCAGCCTCTCGCACAGCGCCACCCGACACGCCACACGCGCCACCTCGCTCGACGTCGCCAAGCTGCGTCCCACCTCGCTCCTCGCCACCGCCACCGCTCTCATCGCGCTGCACCAGCCCGTTCCCGCGTCGTCCCTGAGCTTCTCCCCCTTCTCAACGAATCCTCACTCGCAGCAGCAGCAGCAGCAGCACCAGCACCAGCGCGCCTTCTCCCTCTGGTCCCGCCCCGCCGCCTCATCCAACAAGATGGGATCCAGCGCCTCGTCCGCCGTCGATCCCGCCTCGTTCCCAAAGGGCAAGCCGGACTCAGAGTGGCGCGCCCAGCTCTCGCCGGAGCAGTTCCGCATCCTCCGCCAAAAGGGCACCGAGATGGCCGGCACGGGCAAGTACAACAAGCACGCCGCCCAGGGCGTCTACACGTGCGCCGGCTGCGACACGCCCCTGTACAAGTCGACGACCAAGTTTGACAGCGGCTGCGGATGGCCCGCCTTTTTCGACGCCATCCCCGGCGCAATCGACCGACACGTCGACCGCACCTTTGGCATGGAGCGCATCGAAATCACCTGCAAGGCCTGCGGCGGTCACCTCGGCCACGTCTTCAAGGGCGAGGGCTTCCCCACCCCCACCGACGAGAGGCATTGCGTCAACTCGGTCTCGCTCAACTTGTGAGTCGTCGGCGCAGAGGGTTGCGCGTCGATGGGAGCCTGCTCTGCTGACACCCGGTCCCCCGCCTCTTTTCTCCCGCTCGCCATCCTTCCACGTCGACAGCAACGACGACCTCAACAGCGGCAAGTAGCCAGGCCCTTCTCGTCGTCGTTGGCCAGCTTTGTTTCTTTTCGTCCTTCGCGTGGCTTGCAGTTTCCGATGCTTCTCCGCTGTTTCTAATCCTAATCCTACAGTAATGCTTCCTCGCCCGCCGCGCAGGCCCCCGACTTACAGGCAGTTGAGATTGCAGCCGGCGTTCAGGACGCGGCCGGCTCGACGGTGGCGGTAGCCGTCATGCACACGGTGCCGCGGTCATCGAGCGCCCACAGTTTGGCGGTGCGTCCGTTCGGCGAGGCCGAGGAGGAGGGCTGCCACTTGCCGCGCAGCCGCACCGTCCTCTCAACGACGAGGGGAGCCGTTGCGCGGTAGTCAAAGTGTCGCAACCGCAACTTCCGCGTCGGATCCGAGGCTGGAGTCGCGTCGTCGCCTGATGTTGCTGTTGCTGCTGCTGCGCCGCCTGCTGCGGCGCTATCGACGAGGTTCATGAGGAGCGTAGCCGTCAAGGGGCCATGGACAAGGCAGTCTGCTCGGCGGTCGAGCGGGTGTCGGCGGGAGGGAGACGAATGAGACGCAAGACAAGGATGAGCGGGGCCGATTTGGGTTGGCAGGACGAGCTCTGCTTGGGCTCACCGGGATGGCCTTCCTTGGTCCTGCAGTACTCGGGGTCGAGGTGGATGCGGTGCGCGTTGAACGTGGCCGCGCTGTAGCGAAAGAGGGTGGCGCGCGTGGGCAAGTAGTCCCATGCAAAGTCGTACGCCTCTTCTTGGTTGGGCGGCGGCGTCGCGCTGGTGGCGGGGGCAGTGGCGGTTGCTGTTGCAGATTGATGTGGAATAGGGAGAAGAGAGGGTGAATGAGCAAGGCGAGGCCCGACGCTGCCGGCTCGCACGTCGATGCCCTGGGTACGCGCACACTCACGCGTAGCCTCGTCTGGTGCGCCGACGCGCCTGGGCCTGCGGTAGACGTGGCACCTGCGCTCTGTGACGGTGCGACCTCTAATGTTGCGGTATACGAGCCGGCGCCAGACGAGGACCATGGTGCCCTGCCTTCCCCGCTTGACATCGACCTTTTCGACGCAGACGCGACACTCTACCTCGTCGCCGACGCACATCTGGTTGGACGGATCAAAGTCAAACGAGCCAGACGCCCACATGCGCTGATCCAGTCCCTCTGGAGGGCTCCAGGATGCCTCGGTGCCGTCCGAGCGTAGCTCCGACTCCGGGTTGAGCGGGTTGAAAAGAGTCAGTTCGGCACCCAGCGGCATTGGGCACGAGGGGAAGAGGTGGAAGATGGATCGAGCATCGTTCTTCCTTGCTTCCGCGGCGACGGCGGGGTGGTGGTGCGTGGGCGAAGAAGGGAGGGGAAGGCAGAGGAGAAGACAGCGCGCCTTGTTGAGGTCGGCCGTGTCGTAGTACGTCGTCTCGTGCGTCAGGATCTGCGCCGTCCACTCGCTCAGCGTCGCCGGCGGCTTGTCCTCGAGTGGCCGCGATGGTGGTGGTGATGGCTGCGCATCGAGTGTCGCTGTTCTCTTTGCTGCCGCCGGCCCGTCAGTCGAAGCCGACGGTACGGCCGCAGCCGCCGTAAAGAGGCGCGCGGAAGTGCGGAAGCGTCGCTGCATGGCTGACCGGGTCTGCACCACCGCCGCCACCGCCGACGACGAGGTGAGCGGCAGCGCGCGCGGCGTGAGGCAGCGGAGGCCCAGCATGGTAAGAGCGTGTGTGCGAGTAGGAGTGGGGCGATGGCGAGGAGGACGATGGATGGTGGAAGAGCGACAAGGAAAGCGAGAAGCAGCTGCGGCCCCCCCCCTGGGCCAGGCCAGGCCGGTATGTAACTAGGCCCGCCCGCCGTCTGGGAGCGTTACCCCGCACTCTCGACTGGCAGCGAGCTGAGGCGCTTGGAAGCGGGCGGATTAAGCGGCAGGTTAGGCCGCTCGGCCAGGCGGCTCTGTCGAGCACGAGCCAACCCTGCCTTCCGCGCCAACCCAAAATGAAAATCGGACAACAGGCCGGCAGAGCACGAGGCGCCAGCGCTCAAGGCCCTCGTGGGCCAGGGCAACGGACTTGGCCGAAGAATCGCTCAAGCTCAAAGGTTGTGCCTCGACGAGAAGAAGTGGAAGCAAAGCATAGCCGTGCTGGGTATTAGTTGTCGTTTCTTCTCACCCATCCATCATCGACCTCATCTTACTACTCCTCACCACCACCACCACCACCACCACCACCACCACCACCACCCGCCCACCATGTCGCACACCAACGCCTCGCTGGGATCCGCCATCTCGTCGCTCGTCACCTCGCTCACCGCATCGCCCCTGCCCGCCATCGAGCCCACGCCGACGCTGCCCACCTCCCCCGCCGAGCTGGCCAAGCTCATCGACCACACCCTCCTCGCGCCCGCATCCACCCTCGACCAGATCCGCGCCGTCTGCGCAGAGGCAAAGCAACACGGCACCGCCACCGTCTGCGTAAACTCGAGCCTCATCCCCACCGTCGCCGCCCAGCTCGACGGCAGCGGCGTCAAGCCCATCGCCGTCGTCGGCTTCCCCTTTGGCGCCGCAAACACCCAAGCAAAGGTCGCAGAGACTCAGCAGGCCGTGCGTGACGGCGCAAACGAGATTGACATGGTGCGTCGAGGGGGGCCGCTCTGCTTCGATGCGCTTGCTTGGCTGCCGCACCACTGACCGCAGGTCCGCCGCCGTCGCATCCCCCATCTTCGGCCTCTGCATCGCTGCACACCCACCTGGCAGGTCCAGAACATCGGCCTGCTCAAGTCGGGCGAGTACCTCGCCGTCCTCTCCGACATCCAGGCCGTCGTCGGTGCCGCAGCGCCCTCGGCCATTGTCAAGGTCATCATCGAGACGTCGCTCCTGACGCGCGACGAAATCATCGCCTCGACCTACCTCACCTGCCTCGGCGGCGCCGCATTCGTAAAGACGTCGACCGGATACGGCGGCGGCGGCGCAAAGGAGGACGACGTCCGCCTCATGCACGCCATCGCCCACCTCGACGGCGCCCCCTGGAACGGCAACGTCAAGGTCAAGGCCAGCGGTGGTATCCGCAGCCTCGACGTCGTACAGAGGATGGTCCAGAACGGCGCAGAACGCGTCGGCGCCAGCGGTACAAAGGCCATCCTCGACGAGGCCATGGGCAACAAGCCAGAGGCGCCCAAGAGCGACTACTGAGAGACGGGTTGCAGTGTGTCGTGGTGCTGGCTGCCGCTGCTGCTGCTGTTGCTGGTTTTGTCTCTAGGTCATGGCAAACAGATGGTGGTACAACGTCGGCGGGCCCTCCCGTGCCGTTCCGTGCCGTAGTGGCCGGATTTCTATCGCGCGTTCGGACTCGCTTTCACAGCTTGGCTGCTACCATCCCTGTCGTCGTCGTTGTCGGAAGCGGTTGCGGTGCCATTGTCGCAGCCGCTGCCGCTGAGCCGCCGACGTCCGTCGCATCGAGCCACTCGGCGATGCAGCCGACCAAGCGGTCCACGTCCTCGACGGTGTTGTCGGCGTGCAGGCAGATCCTCACCCGGTCCTCGCCCTTGGGCACCGTCGGGTAGCAGATCGGACGACCTAGCAACCCGCGCTGTCGCAGAAACGCCGCTAACGGTCTCGCCTCGGACGTGAGCAGCGGGATGATCGGACTCGGTGAACTGAGGGATATCGCGGCCACGTCGTCGTTGTCGTCGATGTCGTCGTCGATGAGTAGACCCGACGAGGGCGAGCGCAGGTGTTCGGGCAGCGTGACCTGCCTCGTCGCCGTACCCGTCGTCGTCGCGCCCGCCGCCGCTGCCGCTGCGACCTGCCGCAACCCGCGCACGAGCCTGCGGGTGCGGCAAAAGAGGCGGCGCGCGCGCTGCTCGCTCCTGCCATCCTGAAGCGAGAGGAGGCAGGCACGGATCGAGACGAGGCTAGGATGGCTGAGGCTGGTAGAAAAGATGAGGGGGCGGGCGTAGTTGATGAGAAAGTGGCGCACCACGGGCCGGCACAAAACGACGGCGCCCGACGAGCCCATGCCCTTGCCAAAAGTCATGAGGCGGACGTCGACGGCGCCGTCGAGGGCGAGGGCGTGGCAGTAGCCCCTGCCGGCGCGGCCGTAGACGGCCGTCGAGTGCGCCTCGTCGACGACGACGCAGCGGCGAGCGCGGTCCGGTACGTGCCGGTCCAGGACGTCGAGCAGTCGGGCTAGCGGCGCCGTGTCTCCGTCCATCGAGTAGACGCTCTCGATGGCCAGGAAGACGTTGGGCGGTGCCGCAAAGACGCCCTCGTGTGTGGACGAGGCTGGAGCATCGAGCTGGCCGCTAGCCGCGAGGCCTGCAAGGATGCGTTCGAGGTCGTCGGGCGAGTTGTGGCGGAATGCGATCCTCCTGTCCCTGCGGGTGCGCGACTTGCGCACGCCGTCGTGGACCGAGGCGTGGACGAGGTGGTCGTAGAGGATAAAGTCGTCGGGCTGCGGGAGCGTGCTGAACAAGGACACGTTTGCGTCGTAGCCCGAGTTGAAGAGGAGCGACGACGGCGACGCAAAGTGGCGCGCCAGGTCGACCTCGAGCTGCTCGTGCTCGCTCGAGTTGCCGTCGAGCAGCCGGCTACCTGTCGACCCCATCTTTGCCAAGCTCGAGCTGCGAAAGAGATCGAGGAAGTCGGATCGTACCTGCGCGCACGTCGAGAGGGAGAGGTAGTCGTTGGAAGAGAAGTCGACCAGCGGCTGCGCAAGAGTGGCAGTGGCCGAGGCCGAGGCCGTAGTCGACGAAGACGAGGAGCTACTATTGGTGCTTTCGCCGCTGGGCGATGAGGATGGGCCGGTCGGAAAGATGGTGAGATCGCGGAGCGTGCCCTTCTGCATCCGCCTATCGAGCGCCTGCTGCAGCTGCCGTTCGAGCATGATGGCCTAGTCGCGCTTGCTGGCTTGCTCGGTATGGTCGTGGGGAGATGGCGGCGGTGGTGGTGGTTCGAGCGCAGGTTGGGGCTCCCTCCCGGATTGGGAATGTTGGGGGTTGGGGCTTCCGTCAGCCGAGCCGGGACCGGTAATGCCGAGTGGCGCCCGTTTGCCGAAACCCGAACGGAACAGTGACTTGACCCAAAGGAACCGGACTGGCGGTTTCTTGGATCCCAACAGAGCAGCTATTAGCCTTCTACTTGGCTTGAGTTGTAGCCCTGTGCTCTTTGGTAAGCATTGTAGGTACCTTTGATAGCATGTCATATCAGCAGGTGTGCTTCTTGAGCAAGTGGAAGTTTGTTTTCTTGGCACCGTTTTGGCACTTCCCTCCTCAAGGCTCTAGAGCCACCACAGAGGGGACCTGCAACCTTGCTCATCTGCTAGGCCTGATCCTCAGGCTTGCAATGATGCTTGGAGCAGTCTGATTGGACACCTGGAAGGCAGTTTGCGTGGGCAAAATGTCGATTTCCGACGATTTTCGAGCATTTTCAACACTTTGCCCAACAGATCTCCCGATCTGCTGGGTGAAAGACCCTGCAGCCTTGCTCATCTGCTAGCCCTGATGCTCAGGCTTGCAATGATGCTTGGAGCAGCCTGATTGGACCACTGGAAGGCAGTCTGTGTGGGCAGAACGTCAACTTCCAATCTTTTGGAGGGTTACGGTTCCATCTACGAGGCAGAATGTGGATTGGGATGCGTTGGCCGTCTGGTGGACCCTGGCTGGACCCTGACGGGTGGGCCAGCCGGCTGGGAAGCTGGACGGCTACAAAATCTGAAAAATCACGAATACAAAATTAGACTTTTAGCCGAGCTACTGGACCCTGACGATACAAATTGCAGCGCAGGCGACTACGGCCAGGAAGATGGTCCCATTTTCAGAAAGATGGACGAACTCAACCAGGATGATGGACCCGTACAAGCCAGAATGATGGACCCATACAGCCAGGAAGATGGACTCATACAGCAAAAGAATATAGAAGATGGACGGT